TGGTGTCCAAATCTGGCTATCAGAATCCTTTGGGGACCCAAAATAAACACAGATTTCTAAGTTCTGCCTTTGGATTCAGATTTGGATTGAAGAGGTCATAGCATTTAACCTTGTAGCCAGGGGTCAGTTATTACTGTCTGGTAAAAGTAATTTGGACCCCAAATTACTCTGCTAGCTTCAAAATAGAGCCAGCAATCTAATTACAGGCATGAAAAATTAGAAAGCTGTTACTGAGCTGCCAAGTCCAATGTGCCCAGTTAAGAAGCTGTGAACAAATTTTCTCAATGGCACTGAAGACGGTAAGTAATTTAAATTTCAAGAGCATATATATTTTCTTCATGGAATTCCCTAAGTGTCTGTTTACCTCAGACACATTCTTTACATATTTTTATTATTCTAAACTTGATTCTTACACAAAAAATTAGACTATCACTAAACAGCCTGATGCTGAAAAGCAAGATGAGAGCAGAATCTAGACATCTTTATTTTTTAAAAAAACAAATTCTCCATATTTGCATTCTAAATCAACTAATTCAAGGCCATGAGTCTATTTTAATTGGCAATGCTTTCCTGATTAGAGCTATAGCTTTACTCAAAGGTATAGTTTATTTAAAGGAATAGCCTTATTCAAAATGTACCAATGTCACAACACAGTTTCTTTCCAGAGGAAAGACAGCAAGAGCTGGAAGACAATCAAGAAAGTTCTCAGACTTTCTTCCTTGACTTGTTTGCTCGAAAGAACTAATGGACCATGTACAGCAACAAAGATGGTAACTTCTACAAATCTACACTAACAGAATTAAACACCTAAGAAGACAGAGAAGTCAGACAACAACTGAAAGAAAAAAAAAATATGGTGCCCCTTGCCCTTCCCTCTGGGCACATGGCTGCCTGGTGACCTGACTCACCCACGCAACAACTGTGCTTCTGTTCTGGGAAATGCAATACTTGTGCTACAGTGTGGTGTATTCTGTAATGTCAACAATTCAATCATCAAACTCAACCCGTTTGATGAATCAAGCCCAAACCACTAAATGAGTGCAAAAGAAACAAAAAGGTGTCAGGAAATGACAGATGTAGGATGTTGTGATGGCTCTGTGAGATTTTCTTAAAGTAGTAGTATTAGAATATCTTAGATGCTAACAACTTAAAAAAAAATAAACTTACAGATATATAGAATAAAACAGCAGTTAGGGATAAAAAGACTTGGGATTATGTCACATCAAAGGGCATAAAGTAGCAAATGTGTGACTCTAAAGACCTATGTACAACACAGGACTATAGCTAACAATAGTGTATTGCAGTCAAAGTTTTTGCTGAGTAGATTATAGCTCTTCTTGGCAGAGGGTGAGGATCAGAGGTTGAGAAATAGGTAACTGTGAGATGATCAACATGCTGATTTGTTTAACTACAGTAACTATACAATATACTCATATGCATGTTTATTTAAATACATAAAAAGTAAACATTGTATGGTATGCCTTAAGTATACACAATAAAATTTATTTAAAATTAGCAAACTCTTTTCTGAGACAGTGTTTTCACTATAATTCAGATTTTCTTCAACCTCAAGAGCCTCCTGCCTCAGCTTCCCACATGCTAGGACTACAGGCACAACTATGACTTGGTTTAAAGAAAATAGCAACTCAAGTAATATCTCAGTCTAAACATAAATTTCATTGCAATTATCTTCCCTCCAGTGTGACGGTCACTTCTTTTCTGAGTGATTCCTAAACAGAGCACTCGTTCTACCCCTCATTCTTTGCTGTCCCCACACCTTCCTCATGTCCACCCATCCCAACCATCCTTCCTAAACCTGCTCAAGCTCCACCTCCCTCTGGAAGCATTGTACACGGCAGACTTTGGTCTCCTCTGACTTTACTGCTGTGCACGTGGCAGGTCCAAAGCCTTGTCCATGTCTGAGAGGCAACCCTGCTGCTTCCACAGCTGCACAAAGGCTTGTTCATGAGATCTCTCAGCTGTTTGCTAGCTTCTTGCAGACTGGGAAGGAAGTCTGCAGGAAGAGTCTTCTCACTGTGTCACTTAGAGCAGTAGTTTTTGAGCTTTTTGGAACACTGTGACTGTAGTTGGCTACACAGGTCATGTCACGGTCCATGATGCACCTACATACAAGCATGTGATTTAAGGTTCCACAAACAACACTTACCCTTCTGCACTGCCTTACTCTATCATGTTTCTCAAAAACAAAAATGTGAATTAGATTCACTAGGGGTCAAGACCTGTGGTTTCAAACTACAGCTCAGAAGGGCACTTACTGCTGCAACCATTTAAAAATTACTTAGAATTATATGTGGCCTTTGGGTTCTCTTTAGCCCATATTCTGAGTTCACTGTTCACTTGGCTTTCACATCATTGTGCCTTTATCTTTTGTGGTCACCTGGGACCATTAAGTGTTGATGCATATACTCTTTTCCATCTTTTTTCTATGAACACTGTTATGTTAGAAATAATATTCCATATATCCTGTTACATGGTTCAATAAGACTGAAATCTCCATCACCTACTCTGTCTGACTTTTGGAATATGTAGAGAAAGTGATAGACATTTCTTGGATGAAGTAATTGGGGCACAGAGAGTTGTTACTATGTCGGCAAAGGCTTTTCTTCCCTCTAAGCAGGCCATTGTAGATGAAGGCAAATGTAGTTTGCAGATATGTGAAGGATATAAATTTGGGTAACTGCAGCCATGAAAAGCTGCAATATGAGCCTATTCACTTAACGTCTCCAGATGAAATGACATCAGAGGAGGTAGCAGCCCTTCTCAACTTCAGCTTGGAGTGGATCCCCATCTGTCTGTAGCCTCATCCTTCCCCCTTTATATGTGCACTCTGCTTCCAACCACCTTTTTTTCTGGGGTTTCTCCATGTTTTCGTCCCTACATGAGGAAGCTCTTTCTTCTCCTCTTCAGGAGGGAGTCTCTGGCATTCTCAGCCCCGTGGGAAGTTCACCTTGTCCCCTCTACTCCACAGACAGGCTTCTGTAGCACGGGGCTGTGGGACTGAACTAGCTGTCACGGTCAGTCTCCTCCTCTAGTTTTGTGGGCTGAGACTGAGTCTCATTTATTCTTCGATTACACATTCAAGGACCATCTTGAGCTCCAGAAGAATATACCGTCAGTGGATGAATGAACAAGGACTGAGTGGATGAATGAGAGCACACAGGGCAGAAGCAGCTGCCCCTGACCAAGATCAAGTGGAAGCCCAGACTAAAATCCTGTGTCCTGTCTGTCTGAGGTCAGCAGTTTCAGATTGTGTGATTCTACTGCCAATATCCTAGTCCTTCCCTTTAGGCTGCACATTTTGTGACTAGAAATTCAAGCAGTGAGGGCTAGCTGCAGCTAAATATATTCCTTCAAGTATATTTGAAGCACAATCAAGAAAACGTTTCAGGAACAAATAATTAAGTGTATTGGGCCAGTCTTTTGAAGCAATTAAAACACTAAAATTTCAAAATAGCTTGCTGGAATCTCCCCTCCTCTGCAGTGAGACTGATCTGATTCATATAACATTCCCCTCCTCCCCTCTGTGCAGCTGATGCCCTGGTGATGTGGACCCGACCATTTCCACAACAGTCTAGTTAGTGGGTAGCTAGAGCCTCCCCATACCACAGCGCAGCACACTGCATTTTTCCTCATCACCGCCTGGGCTCTGTTTCCAAAATACATTTCAAAGATATAACACTTAGACTTGTGACAGTAATCCCTACTTATTCTTTTCTGTTTATGAATGATCAGCACAGTCCCCCTACTAAACGCACACAAACTTGGCAAATATATTCTTCACAATTCTAGCTCCAAAGAACATTCTGTAAGGCAAACTGTGGTCATTTGGGGATAGCAAGCAAGAAGATTTTCTTCTTTGTGCTGTGACTCATGTATCTTTATTCCCACAATTGTTACTCCAGGCAGGCCAATGGTGAACACAATGGAAAAGAAAGAATAGGTTATAACTGGAAAATAAGCACGTTAGGGAGAAGTACACTCAAAGCATTATCAAAGTAAAATATGCACCAGTACCAACAAGAGCAAACAAAAGCCCACGCAGGAGATGTGTAAATATTTCATGAAGCTAAGACTTAATCAACTCTCTCTCCAAATCTTTCTCGTGTTGTAAACACTTCAGTTTCTCCCAGTCCCACCATGACCCAGATTTCTTGCAAAAATAAAGTGAAAACATGGACTGATGGATCTTTAACATGAGTGCTGTAAAAAATATTTGGGTGAAGCATATGGAAACACAGGTTTACCTGGAGGAAGAGGGGATTGCTGTGTGGGTGGATACTCAAGCTCGCTTCTCTGTCCTCCTCCAAGCCCTTGCTTTTTTCCACCTCCTCTGCTGCTTTCTGGACATGCACAGCATCTTACCCTTGAACTGCCTACATCCTAAGCAGAGGTTTCTCCAATACCCCTCCACCCTCCAGAAAGCCCTTGAAACCTGACCTGCATGTGCTGCCTTCCTCCCGCTTCCCATTCACCTCCCAGGGTCTATGAAGGTCCCCTCCTTCTCCCCTTTTGGCGCGGACCTTTGTTGCGTCTGAAATTTTGCTTACACATTTTCCATCTTCCTGTTAGCACGAAGATCTGCTTGGATATTGGCCACCGATCCTCCCCAGCCCTTTTGTAAAATCCTCATGTACCCAGCCTTTATCACCCCTCCTTTCCCCTTGATTGAATGTGGTTCCAAAGTTCACCTCCAGATACAGAACAGGTCTCTACACTGATTTCCCTTTATCGACCCAGGCCCTCCCTCCCTCTGCTCTCCTACCTGAACAAAAACTATGCGCACATGTACCTACACACATGTAAGCGCATATGCATTATAAATGACTCGTGTTTTGACCTTAAGGGGAACAAACGGAGGAAAACGAGAAGAATCACACACACACACACACACACACACACACACACACACACACACCCCTCTCCGGCCACTCGCGGTGTGCAGATCTGAACCCCGAGCGGCAGGCGGCTTCCCCACTTACCTTCCAAAGCAGGGCTCCAGGAGGGATGACCTTGCAGAGAAATTCAGCACCTGCGAGCAGGCGGCCCCTCCCGCAGCGCAGGACGGGATGGGAGCAGAGCAACAGGCGAAGGCTCCGGGAGCCGGAGCCGAAGGGGACCGGACGCCGCCGCGAGGCTCGGGTTCCCGCCAGGGCGTAGGGGGTGGGCGGGGCGGTCCCTACCTGCGGGGATCCCTGCCGGGGCGGATACCCGTCTCAGACCCCAGCGCGGGCTCCGGGCGTAGAGCCGACGACGCCCGCGGCCAGGAGCTGAGAGCTGCTCTCTCGGTCCCGCAGTCAGCTCGACGCGTCGGAGGCGAAAGGACTCTGAGAAGAGCCCGGGCGGCGAGCGAAGCGGGCGGGGACCGGGGCGCCCCAGCAAGCTGCAGCGGCCGCCCGGCCGGCGCCGTGGGGAGCCCCACCCCCAGCTCCCGCAGGCCCGGGCGCGACCCTCGGCCCGAGCAGTCCCAGCGCCCGAGCGGGGCTGCGGCTCCACCGAGCCTGCTCCGCCCTCGGCTCCGCCCCTGCCACCCGCTTTGGGGGACCCGGCTGCGGGCCGGGCAGCCGCGGGGAGCCTAGGCGGCTGGGAGACCGCGCCGGGGAGTCCAGAGGGAGCCGAGGAGGAGGAGGAGGCTGCGGCCCAGAGCTCCGCAGGAATTCCAGCTCACCCCTCCCGCGGGCCCTGACTCCCTGGCTAAGTCAAGACTCCAGCCGAGGTTTAGGTTTCCACTCCAGCCACGTGCAGCGAGGGGCAAAGAGCCCGGAGACCAAGCACCCTGCCAGGGATCTGGAGCCGGGATTCCTGACCGTGTCCGTGCCCTTCCCCGTGCCCCTCCTGTTGGGTGGGCGTGGATGGCTCTGGAACTCGGCCCTCTAGCTCACTGAATGGATGTGTAGTATGGCTAGCAGCCTAGATGGTGGAAAATGACACGATGAAGAGAACTATATAAGCCAAGTATTTGTTGGTAGGGATTATGTAAAATGCCTTCTATGCAGCTAATTCTCACAGCCACTCAGTAGAAGAAGAAATTGAGGCGTAGATGGTTTAGATTCTGTGCTTGAGGTGAAGGTAGTAAGAGGCATAGCTGGGCTTCCAACCACTCCAAACTGTCTTTCTGACAGGCACGATGGTACAGTACTGGGGAGGCTGAGGCAGGAGGAGGCCAGTTGTTGGTTGATATCAACTGGGTTGGGGGTATGCGTGCTGAGTCTCTGCTCTTGAGGAAGGAGCATTCCAAAGTTTGGGAGTGTAGCTTGACGGTGGAGGGTGGTGGCCTACCAAGTTCCATTCCCAGTGCAGAAAAAATAACATTAAAAAAAAAAAAAGAAAGAAAGAAAGAAAGAAAGAAAGAAAGAAAAAAGAAAATCCTTAAGGCCACAAACCTACAAAAATTGCTGCAGGTCATTTACTATACTGCTATCCTTTGCTGGGGTTGGAATCTTCTACCGAATACCAGGCTACTTTTAAAAGGCACCTTTAAACCAAGCTTGGTGGCACACACCTATAATTCCAGCCCTAAGGAGGCTGAGACAGGTGGTTGCTGAGTTCGAGGCCAGCCTTGGTACATAGTGAGTTCAAGGTCAGCCTCAAGGACGTGTCTGAAAAAACCAAAGCCCAAACCAAACCAACCAACCAAACATAGCATCTTTATTCCAAGAGTGGTATTGGTACAGTATTTACAGTATCAGACTGCTAAGGACAGATGCTTTTATTCTAGGCCTTTGCCTCATTGAGAAAAATGAAAGCCAGAACCTAACATTTAATGTTTGCAGTTTTCACATGAAGAATTTCATGTGTCCTGTCATAGCACTGGAATGGTAGATACGATTTCATATTACAGGAGAGGAAAAAGAAATAACTGTTCTCATGAAGTCATTCAATTAATATACATGTAGTAGGGGTTATACTGGGGACAGATTCTAGCCTAAAAATAACTACCACAGCGAGTACAGACTACCATAGTTTGCTGTAGGAAACTACCATGAGCTAAAGTTGACACAAATTCACATGGATGAAAGTCTGAAAATAGATCATTTGGAATTGAAGTCAAAGAGTCTTGCCAGGACTGTCCTTTGGAGTCCAGAGAAGCAAATTATTATTATCTTTCCTTATCTCTTTTAGTAGCAGTATGTTTGTGTTATATAAGAAACTCCCTCATGGTGGGATTTGGTGCATGCATGTCACATCTTGATCCCTTTTACTTTTCCTTCCTTCCTATTTCCCCCATCCTCAGATTCCTTTTCATCTCCACAAAGTCAAAACCAATCAATAAATATTGAACACCTTTTATGCCCAAGGAAATTTAATAAAAAGATTGACTTTCAAAAGTTGGTGACTTCACTGGGACATAGAATTTATAAGAAATAAAAAACTAAATTATTTAGACAAAAGAAACTATAGAAGTGACATGAGATAGTATATGATTAATATTCTAGGGAATGATTAGTTGAAAATTTTATTTGGAAGTTAAATTTGTACATATGAGTGAAGATAAAGCTAGAAAGGTAGGAAGGTATGTATGGTAAGGATCTTAAATGTCAAGCTAAGGAGTTTAGATTTAATCTACACTAACAACTATGATGATGTCAGTATGTCAGCGCTGAATAATTAACCAAGTGCCACTTGCGTTTTTTGAATTTTCCCTTCTTTCTCCAGAAAGAAAAATAGTGCAGATGTCTCCTCTCTCTCTCTCTCTCTCTCTCTCTCTCTCTCTCTCTCT